GGATATATGTGAGAATTAAGGAACGGAGGATTGCGGATGCGGGGCGGAAAGTATAAAAATTATGCGCCTGTTTGGCGTTTTGGCATCGCTGCCAAGCAAAATACACACAGCAGATGATTATGAGATCACTTTGTGTGTGACGTGCTGGGAAAGCATATCCTTTTTCCTTGCCTGTGTCCCAACTACCTGCCATGTCCTAGCTTTAATAAAAATAAATGTTACTTGTAATAATTTCTTGCACGTCTCTTGCAATTTCCTCATCGTTCTCCTTATGCCGTTTATTTTTTTCATTTGTTTTATTTTACCCGGTAATCGTGGTGTACTAGGGTATACTGTATTTATTTTAGTTCATATGGCAATACTTATTAATTCAGGAGCTAAAAAATAAAAACTTTTAATTGTGTTAAGAATAACAGCCTTTACTATTTTCGGGACAGTATATATATTTTTCTTAGCCAACTAATGAATTGAGTTTATTTAAAGCAAGCCATTAATTTGTTAATAATAAAAGTAAGCTAGAAAGTAAACGGGAATTTTTTCTGTGAGCCAACACATATCTAAATTTCTTATCCACAGTCACAACATTTAATCCATATTTTAGGATATTATATAACAGAAAAAAAAATCCGAGACTATCTCCACTGTTTTAGGGATGTACTCAGGAACCTAAGCACTTTTGAAAACTGTATTTTTCTTTTAATACCGGGTACTTCACAGTCGTAGCCCTCGACTTAAGCGTTACTTTTTGTGTGCCTTATATTTAGCATGTGTTTATCTTCGCTTTACTTACGCTTTGAAGGCTCCGCTGAGAGGGGATGAACAGGTGTCCAGGGGGTGGGCAGAAGGGAAAGTACCACCCCTTTTCACACCCCGTTCTCCGTGCCGTTCTGCACTTGTCTGTCGCTTACTTCCTGTCTGCCCCATTGTGCTAATGAGACGTCTACCTCCTCTTTAAAATAATGGGAAGGTGGACTCACCGCCGCTTTTCCAAGTCCTTTGTGGAAAAGGAAGAGTGCATAAAATATTAATTATTGCACGTGCGGTGGTAATGAAAATTCATACAACAACATAATGCATACATTTTCGGTTAATAATGTTCAGGAATGATGTGTGTTTGTACCTTAATATGCCATGACGACGATGTTGATGTTTTACTGGGGATGTAGTCTGCTTTAATTATGATTGAAAGGCAAACAAAAGAAGTCAAGTGGCAATAATGAGTTTGAGTTTTGAGTTACAATTCTCACTTGTAAGGAGTAGTTACAAAATGTTAGGTTCTTTAGACATTTATTGGCTTAGTATGCCTTATTAAATTCAATTAGGCAAAAATATTTCATATTAAAGGGTGTTAAAACATTACCCAATTCGAAATTTTTAATAAGCTAATAAGTTGTCAATCGTAAAATGAAAAAAAATTACTCTTTAAAACATGCCCTTTATATTTCTCCCACATGTACTTTTTTAAGCCAATCAAAATAAACCCAAAATAGATATAAAAAAAAATCTCGTTAGCTCGTTTACAAAAATATCTAGTCTCCTGCGACATATCCAAGTTACATCAACATACACCCACATGCCAAATAAAAACTGGAGTTTTCATACATCATTGCCCTAATAAAAAAAAGTCAAGCAAGCCAGACAGCAGACAACCGACAGACATTGGAGTTTATTTAAAAGTCTTAGTCTTGTCAGCTGTCATTACCAAACAAAATTACAGCAATAGCAAGGTAATTGAAGAAGACACTGTGACGTAAATGGTGAAACAAGCTGCAAAGTAGCTGCTGAAGATATTATTCTTGCTTGGTAATATAGGGTTTTCAACCAAAATCCTAGCCAAAAAGGTTTCCTTAATTGACACTTATTGGATGGACCGCCGACATTTATCAATTCAGCAAAAAATCATAAAAAAAAGTCCTTATTAATGTTGGCCATTGATCTATGAACATTGGCCAATTAATGGACTTAAAAGACATCGTCAAAAGGGGTACTGTCATAGAACTTGGACCCTCAACCCCTTGTTGACCCGACCTTGAACTTTCTGTCGCCATTGCGTCGCCCATAAGCATTTAGCAGGAAGAACAACAAACCGGAACTTTTCCACCGTTGTCAGTTTCACTTTTCGTGTTCCCAGTTTTTACCCCAACTTTTACTACTTCCTCCGCCATTTCCACATCCCTTGTTTACAGTTTATATATGCATTTTTATGTTATTTCAATTCAAATTCAAGTGTGCTGGTTCTTTTGGGGCGCAATTGTTACCACTGCAACGGCAGTCAAAACTTTTAGCCTCTCGATTTTCCCCCCTGTCTTGTTTTCCTATATTGTGCAGTTCTCTCTTGTTGATTTTTATTGCACCCTTGGGCGCTTGCAGTTTTAGCCGCATTTATTGGGGCTCCCTGACGTTCCAATTTAACTGTTGCCTTGGTCAAAAGTTTTTATAGTTTTTAAAGAACACATAAAGCACATGTAAGAGTATATGGAAACTTATAAATAAAAGTATAGCTCTTAAACTCAAATAAAACGTAATAGCATTTAAGAACCACAAACAACGCTAAGCCTAATAAATATGCCAATATTCCCTTTTGAAGAGTAATTAAAGCTTAGGAAAGCTGTAAGAAAAGTTGATGCATCGGCTAAATGGTTTTCCAAAAAGTTTTTCGGTACTTAACTAAAGCAAAGCTTTTAGAACATGAGGGTGCTAAACAATAAATAAAGTTCCTACATTTCAAATGGTACGGTTTGCTGCTAGTAAATGTGTTTACTTTGGTTAAGCAGAATCTTTATTTCCTATTCCAAATGCAAAATAAATAAAACTCATTATAATGTCTGTAGTCACTTAATAAACATTAGCTATCATTTTTAAAAAATATTAGTATTGTAAAGCTAATAAAAAAAATGTAGATGTACGTGCATGTTAAACAAAAAATTATCTTACATTATGATTATGATTTCTTTAAAAATTCAACCACGCATGTATGCCAAGGTCAATAAAAACCCCAATTTTGGTGATCTTAAGCTGGTTAAATGGATGGCCATTTAAGTTTTAAATAATCTTAGGCAAATATTTAAAAAAGCTTTTAACAAGAATTCTGCTTTTCTGATTCCATTGGGAAACTATTAAAATCTTTTACTTACCAACCAGCAACATAACAAATATTAACAAGTTTAATCTGGTAATATGCTTACAAATAGTAAATCAATGGACCAATTACATTGTAGTGCCCTCAATGGAGGATTAAAGCCATAATCTTCTGCTCCGTTGGGGCCAGTTGGAACGATCTAGTAACTAAATACCTTTTGCATGCCATCAATTAATCCTTCAAGTGTGCAAAGGCACACATGCGAAAGCTGGTTGTGTAACAGTTTGATATATTTATAAATGCATATTCATGCAGGATTTGCTCACTGGTGCAGAAATATTAAATTAATGCATGCACAAGTTTATGATCCATATAAAAAACACGTCTTGTTTGATGGGATGTTCTGGAAAACCATTCTGCTGGATAAATTTAAACTATGTTTTAAAAATATTAACAAATTTTTAAACCCCCTTTTGAAATTAGTTTATCAGTTAAGCATTGGCTTTGGATAAAAATCGTTTGTTTTAATTAAATAAATTAATAATATAAATCCCTTATTCTTTTTTTCCATCTCCAAGTTTTGCCTTAATGGGAACCTAGAACATTTGCTGCCACAAGTCCTCCAAAGGTATTTATGTACACTTGCGTGCACTTTGTTGTTCCAGTTGCAAGCGTAAAATAAAATCGCGGCACATTAACTCTGGCTGAATCACAACTAGGCAGAGGAAAACGGTTAACTTTTTGCTGGCATAACCCAAATAGTGACAAAGACACGCACCCCCACCAACAATTTGCACGCCGAGCTAGTAAATAACATTTCATTTAATAACTTCAACTAGAATTTAAGAAGAAAAAAAACTGTGTAAATAAAACGAAACACAAACAGCGAGGAGCTGAGAGTTGGGAGAAAGGTAGGGCGACGGATATTGCCACGGAAGTGAAATCAGGGCAAATGTCGCCGACAAGGACATTGAGTGCATGCACAGGGCATCACAAGCAAACCACCCTTCTTTTGAAACGCCAGTGGTGCAATTCGCCCGTTGTTGCCACTTCCGACGGCTGCTGGGGGTTAATCTGCTTTAATTAAGTTCATTTATTTGAATTTAATTGCTTTGCTTGCTTTCCTTAAAAATCGCGGGATGACAGATTTCGACCTTTCAGGATTTGTTACTTCGCTACCATTGGGCTGCTCTGATGAGAGTTTCGACCAAGGACCCTATCCTATATAAACGTTGTCACGTAATGTAGAAGTACAACATCTCAGGGATGTCCTGTGAAAATTTCTTGTCGATCGGACTAAAACTTTCTGAGATACCGATTATCTCGAAATCGTGCTCAAGGCAGGTATGGAGGTGCGTAACACAACTCAAAAGTTAATGGTACGATCTAAATGAAATTTGGCATACATCCTGTATACAGTAAATACCTGCAGTTGAACAAAAGTTCACATTTATACATTTTTTTTTTAATATTTTTAAAGGAAATAGATTTTTTATGTAAAAATGGTACTTTCGACCGCGCCAAAAATGAAAACTCGCATGTTTTATACCCGTAATTAAAACCCTTTTTTTTGTTCTCTTAACAAATTCTTTTGAACATAGTAATGGCTTCATATTTCAGAATTACAATTTTTGAGTTTTTCAAAGTCGCGGAACACCATTTCATATATAAATTGAAAATATATGTTTTAAAGAATATTTAATTTTGGCAATAGCTCCAAGGGTAGATAAACTTCGGCTAGCCCAAGTTTGCTTCCTTTCCTGTTTTCTATTGTAATACAGTAATTATTATTTTAGATTTACCGTTTGATTGTATTAAAATCGGACAGCCATATCAAATAGATGCAGCTGCCATAGCAACAATTGAAAATTTCTGCGGAAAATCATTTTCTTTATTTCTTGTTTTAAAAAAATTTCAAAAGTCTAGGACATAGAGCATTTTATTCAAACTGCTTAACAATTAGACAAATATTCAGAATATTTCTGCGCCGAACTAAACAGAAATCAAGCCAAATGTCTCTTTCTCCGAAAACTCCTTTTCCAGCCCATTCTATTTGAAGCACCCACGCGCTCTGAACTATCCCGAGCTAAATGCCTTTTTTTCCGAGCGCTTAAATCTCGGCGTGTGTTTGCAAATGTGAGACACGTGCAGGGGCGGTGGTGTGTGTGAGCTTTCGCTAGTATTAGTGTATGTAAGTGTGTGCCAGCTCGTTCCTTTGTTTGCAGGACTCGTTTTTGCCCCTGCCACTTGCTTGTTCCGGTCTGCATAATTACACGGACGTGAGTGCTTTAAACATCGTGTGCGTTCTAAAAAAGAACTCTTTTACTATCACTTTCAGGCAGAACGAACATAGTGGGCGGGGTGTATACAGTGTTTATGGCGGTCCTGGTTCATTAGCAACTGGGCAAGCTGAATCCCCTCCATCCTCGAAATGCGTTCCATGCAAATGTCTATGGGGCTCTACATTAGCTTGTCCAGACGGCAGTCAGCTGGTGTAACTTTGCTTCCGTTTTCGGTTTCATTGTTTCGAATTACGCTGTTTTTTAAGGTGATGAAAGTACGGTGAGCACGAAAAGTTTTTGTTAATTTTAGCTTGGCATGTTATGTTTTAAGTTTAGCTGAAGCATTCAACACACTTTTCGACCCATTGTGACATCGTTTTGTTTTTGCCACTGTTTGTGTCAAATGGCGAAATGCTTCCTTTTCAAGCGGATGGCCATTTAAGTCGTCGCTTGTGGTTGTTTTATGCCGGCAGCTAAATAAACTATTACGCGTAATTAGCCCGACTTTTGTGGCTGGGATTAGTTTTATTGTGGTTGTCGTGACGAAGGGATTAATGTAAATTTAAATGGAATGTTTTGCCACCGGCATTTTCCTCAAGGTGAGTCCTTATTTTCTATTGTGGTTTTAAGGAGCTCGAGTCTTGATTCATTTTGAAAGGTGGCTTTAGATATGCCAATTCTTCTATCTGAATATCTGTTTGCAATTACTATTCTCTTTGCCTCTGTGCCTTTCGCTCGTAATCCCTTAACCCAAAAACCCGAACTGCATGCAACCAACCGAAACTGAAACTTGAGCTGAAATGTAATTATATTCGCATCTCTTTTGCTAGCATTTTGCTAAAGGTGGTTATAATCCCACAGACACACTCCAGAAAGCATTTTAAGCAGAGACTTGTACAAAATGCATCAGGCCAACTTATGCACACAACTGGGGAAACTGCAACACTGGCTGGATATGAGTATAATCACAGCGGCAAGGACTAGAAGTTGAGATTTTTTGAATTTTTAAACATCCATTTCGCCTTTGACTTCTACTTTCCCTTTGATAGTTGGTTTTGTCGGACGATATTAATTACTATAGTGGTCCACGATTTCTTAGGTTCTTTAAAAATATTTAATCATCGGCAAAGGAGCTAAAAGCATAGGCACATCCGTTTACTTTGTTGCGCTCACATATATGCGCACACATATATATACTATATAGACGCATTCCGATGTGCGCGAAAGTGAGTGAACATTACACGCAAGTCAAATAAAATTTTGCGCTGCACAATCTTGCGCACACACACACTCGTTTCTGTGTGTTCGCTGCTGGCACTCAGGCTCGCAAAAAGGCGTGCATAAAAAGCGTCTTTAAAATGCGCTCGGAAATTGTTGCATGTGACATTTTGTTATACCACGAAATCGAGTCCGTATACTTTTCAAGTTAGTTAGCAATATAATACAACATTTAACTTTCAAGGGGTACCAGTTTGGTATAAAACCGGAACTTCACTTATTGATTTAATTCATGAAAAAAGTTACGTTTTAGGTATGAAAGCCTATTATGTCATGCTATATTTTGCGATGATTTTTATAATAATAATAATTTTCTTATTTTGAGCTTATAGGCTTTAAATCATTTTAGCTTACAGAAGAATAAAGAAAATTCAAACCAATTATTTACCTAAAAAAATAATAACAGCATTTTAACAAAAATTAAATTTTGGATATTTCGTTAGGTAGCCTAGGTTTAAGGTTTAAGTTATTTAATTTACACAAAATGCATTTATGTTCAAATTAGTTATATTTCCAGAAGTGCATTTGATAATCAATTTTGTAGAATCCCGGTTTTATAACCTTCTTATTTTATTGGTAGTTGCAGTACAGGTTTTGGCATTTGCCTCTTTGTACAAGTAAAAGTGAGTCTGTGTGAGTGTGTGTGCATGTGTGGTTTTTGCAGTTGACACACTAACACAAACACACGCTGACACATACATACATGCATGCTCACGACTAGCGACTTTAGCAGTAGCACGCAAAACACATTTCATTTACGCTGAGTTTTCCACATCGCACCACGCCCCCTCTTCCTTTCAGGCCTGCCCCGCCTCTGCCCGCAGGACGAAAAAGATCCGGAGGCGTGTGTTTATAAACTGTTTTCTTGCGGCTTTTCAAATACCTTGCATCAATGTTGTCGAGAGTGTGCAAAAAAGAAACTTATTTCTTTAAATTGTCTTTGCTTTTGCTGTGTTCTTCATTCGCGACCTGTTCGCTTAAACGTAAAATTTCGTTTAGCTCTCAACCAGCCGCCAATGCACATTTTTTTGTAGCTTGGGCTTGTCAAATACAAATTTGACTTATAAAAAAGTTTTGCCTACTTAACTGTATAAAAGATATTTAAATTTGTATTAAACAACTGCTGGCGTAAATTCTTTTGAATATTTTAAATTTCTTCAAATATAATGTTTTAAATGTTTCAGTGAAAATTTCAGGTAATTGCTGTCTTCAAGAATTTAAACATATAACACACTAAAGCACATTTTTCTATGTCCCTGCAAAAGCCTCAGTTGGCAGAATTGGTGAAAACGAAAAAATGTAAACACAAAAATGAAGCCCTTTTGTTGTGCATTTTTTTAAACTTTTTTTGGGCCTATTTGAAACACTTTTTTCCGCTAGCTTTGGCATTTTTATAGCCACAATTTTTGTTTATATGTGTAGTAGTATATCTATACCTATTTGTTTTATTATTTTTCCTGTGTTTCTGCTGCACCGGGGCTTATTTGTCTGTGCTCAATTGATTGAGCTTTATTTGTGTTTGTGTGCGCTGGGAAAAGCAAAGAAGTTTTTTTAATTAAATTTGAGCGGATTTTAAAAGTCAGATGATTGTGTGATGCTCTTTGGGGGGAAAGCACTGTTTGTTACTTTTATTTTTGAAATTGTAAAGCTTTGATTTAATTAAATTATGCCAAAATAAAAACGAGGTCACTTTGCATTTATGAAGATGCGTTTATTTAACAGTTCATATGTTTTACACATTTTTAGGGACTAGGTAAGTTGGAAAAAAAGACTGCATGAATGTTTTATGGTAAAGGAAATAATTATATTTTCTTACATAGATAAGATAATCGAATTGGCCTTATGGGCAAAACGAAACTTTTAATTAGAAATGAGAGTAGAGCAGAAAAACATTAATGGAAAATCACAAACTGAGTAGTTCCAATTGCATGCCCGTTAATGTATAAATGAGAATTTAATTTTCTTTCAATTAATAAGCAATTAGTATCGGCAACGGTAAGCTTTCAATGCATTCAATTTACAGAATGCTGGCATATTTGGGCATATTTGATGGAGGACTTGGGGTATAGACCGATTCTCATTTAAATATGAAAAAGATTGTTTTTTAAATCATGATTTATAAAACATAGTCTATTTTAAATTATTGGGTATATTTGCACCATTTATATTAATTATTAACGTTTTTTGATGTATTTATTCTTAAATATTAAATTATTTTTGTTAGACATTGTGTTTTGTTTTGCAATAATTATGTATGTAATCAAAATTTAGAGTATATTTAAAAAAACTTTCTTACACCGATCCAAAAAGCAAATATTAATTTACATCTACATTACACATACATATACATATACATATACAGTATTACAGTATTGTGCATGTCCCGAATCTGTTAAGAAACGTAGACTCAAAGATTCGAAAAGAAATAAATAATAAAAAGTTGTTCTACAAAGCTCTAAGTACAGCTTTATTTAAGTGTAGAGTTCTAAAACTATTAAAGCTTTTATTATACATACTACTTTTAAGCTTATTATGTCAGTTAAAGCCTTATCCTTTGGTTTTGTTTATAGTGTATAACGTAAATTGATGTTGACTGTTTAAAAAATATAACGGATGCAATACAAAATGTCATACAGGTATACATACTACTTTTAAGCTTATTATGTCAGTTAAAGCCTTATCCTTTGGTTTTGTTTATAGTGTATAACGTAAATTGATGTTGACTGTTTAAAAAATATAACGGATGCAATACAAAATGTCATACAGGTATAATGGTGCGATATTTTGTCATATTCTGTTATACAAATGTTAATGGCGTATAACATAAGTAAATATTATACTGTACTGAAATAAGTCCCCTATACTTATATCAAACAGTATAACATTTACTTAAGAATTAAAACGGATGCACATACATCTTGCCATAATCTGTTATACCTATAACAAATCCACCCTTGCCTGAAATATAATTCATTTTTCTTAAGGGCGAAATTTAATGAATGGTTCATTTTTTTTGGAGGGGAAAAGTTAAAACAATTCATTTTACTTCAACGAAACCAGTGAGTGACTTTTTGAACTATTTGTGCTATTCATTCTCTGGTTGTCGTTTTTTCGCTGTTTGTCATTGAAGTACGAGGATTTTGTGGAATTTAATTTAGTCGACTTTCATTTGCAGTAGAAAGCAGAAAAAGAATGACAAGATAATAAATAGTTTGATTTGAATTGCTTCAGTACCGTTTCAAGTTATTCAACGATTGCTATTCGTGTTTTCTAAATAATGACTGTGTGCCTTAGCTTGGAGATTCAAAAGTGATAAAAAAAGGGCTGAGACAATTAAATAGAAATTTGTTTATTGAGACGCTTTTGACATATTTCTGCAAAAATTAGAATGGCTTTAGTTAGCTTAATTGTAATGCTACGAACGGTTTTATATTTGTTTTAAGCATTTTTACTCCTTAAATTATTTTTATAAATTTTTTTTGAAACATGGATTTGATTTTCTTAGGGCATATTATGATATCTTTGAATAAATTATAATTAAACACGTACTGATCTGTCTTTTGATGTTAATCGAGGTTGTAGATTTCTGATAACCCATGAGACGATATAAGCAGTTCTATTCATTGTATCAACATTTTAAGTAAAAACTGGCGCATACATTTAATTGCCATTCGAAACGCACCTGATGCAATGCAAGTTGTGCAAGGTCAACCATATCATGCATTTATCATGTACGAGGATTTTGTGGAATTTAATTTAGTCGTCTTTAGGCAGTAAAAAGCAGAAAAAGAATGACAAGATAATAAATAGTTTTATTTGTATTTCTTCATGCATTTATCATATTAAAAAATAAATTGCTCCAACTGTCTGTTTTGTGGCTTGCCAAAATGACCACAAGCAGCATCGGTTGAAAGGTCGAAAAAAAGTGTATATCAACGGGCAGGCCCTGTTGATTGGAAAAACTTAACAAGCACATTAACACGGAGTGAAAAATACAGATTTTACCAGTGAAGCGGCAAATTAATGAAATAAAACTTAACCTCAAATTTCA